ACTCAACAATTCTTTGGGGAATTTGTGCATAATCTCAGTGTTCAAGGAATCCCTCCCAGGTACATACTCAGGAATGACAGCTCAAGTCAGGTAATTGTTAATATAAATTCAGTTTTCATGCTAACTCAATGTCTTAAGTATGGGGACGGGCAGTAAACAGATGTGGCCCTCATCAGCTCTCTCGGGGTTTATGTCAGGCACAGAGTGGCCCAGTGGCAGGACGCTTTCTTCAGTCAGAAGGACCGGGGTCCTGCCAGCTTCAGAGCTGTGAGCCTGACCAGAGCAGTGAGCCCACTAGTGACTGAGGCCAGAGGTACCTTGTCTTGGTCGTGGAAACACTGAAAAACATGGTTAAATTGTTGGGGTTAGTCGTCCCCTAATTCTCAGAGTAAAAGTCTCTTCTCTTATTCACATCTGGATGACTGCCCCGTGGCCTCATGGCAAGACGGTGCTAGCAGGTCGTGCAGGTGGCTTGCCAGGGTCCTTACAACTGAGGAGGGATGGCGATGTGTCAGTCATTACACGCTGAAGGTCTGCACCTCCCTTGCTTCCCTGTCCTGGGAGAGGCCCCACAGCCTGTTTTATGTCTGTTTCAGAGTGCTTGGGTGAGTGTCCTTTCTGGGAGAAAGGTCTGATGAAGGCCCTTTGGCTCTGCAGTCCCCTTTGTCCGGTGGGAACCACTGTTTAAGGGGAAAGGCACCCTCCCAGCCGCTCCGCCCCTTGCATTGTGCTTCTGCGCAGTCCCAGCGAGTGCCGGAAGGACCTGCCAGGGAGCTCACAGATAAAGCCTGCAAAGAAGACGACACCACTCTTTGGTACAGAAGGTCAGGAGTTTCAAACGGCTGAGATCTTCGTTAGCTTTCCAGTGACATAAGAGCATGGATTTCCTGCACCATTTACAGAGCCCTGCCAAGTTGGGACTATGAGGTTGTTTGTTTGTTCAGTGTGTTTTTAGTGTTGGTCTGGCATTCATCATCATGTTGGCTAAGAAGATGGATTCTTGGGTTCATGTCTCCTAAATATGTAGATCCTAAGGCTGTTGCTTTCTCAGAATTGACACTCAGAGAAAACACTTGAAGATGCTAATACTCCTGAAAGTATTAGCCAAGCCATCAGTGGACTTTTAATTTTTTAAAAAATCTACTTATTTATTTATTTTTGGCTAAACCGAGTCTTCCTTGCTGTGTGTGGGCCTTCTCTAGTTGTGATGGGTGGGGGTGCTACTCGTCATTGCGGTGCACAGGCTTCTCATTGCAGTGGCTTCTCTCGCTGCAGAGCAAGGGCTCCAGGCACACAATAGTTGTGGTACATGGGCTTAGTTGCTCGTGGCATGTGGAATCTTCCCAGACCAGGGATTGAACCTGTGTCCCCTGCATTGGCAGGCGGATTTTTAACTACTGGACCTCCAGGAAAGTCCTGTCAGTGGACTTTTAGAGCTTTTGCCATGATAGGACGGTGCTCATTCATTTGTCGAATGAAGTGAATTGGAGATGATCTCTGTGGTCCCCCCAGCCTGGATACCTTTATGTTTATCACTTCCAAGTGCCATGTCTTACTTTGTAGTGATGAAAAAACTCTCATCCTTAATATGGCAGCTTTCTTCTAGGCTTGTCCTAATTGCAGGTATTAGTAATTAGCAGAGCTAGTATACTGGACTGCTTTCTAGTTGTAACAGGGCTTGACTGGCACATATGCCTAACTGGGAAATTTGGGCCAGCCCTTGCTGTTGTGATTTAGAGAAGTTTTAGAGTATGTTTGGAAAGTGCTTCAATTTGATTAACATAAGTTGTTTTGACACCTTAATTTTGTGAATGCTACGCACATTCTTCTTTCTTTTTTTCTCTTTTTCACTGTCGTGTCTGTTTTTCTGTTCAGGTGTTGTCTGTAGCCAACTCTGATCAGATGGTGGAAACTAATGAGACCAAATGCAGATTCTGAGTATAGTGATGTTTTAGCGGTCATTAAAGAAATGGGATCAAGAGAAAATGTAGGCTGTTCACACCTAATAGATGAACAGAGTTAGTTCTGTAGATACTTTGTAGTATTCATAATTACACTTATAGCGTATATTAGGTGCCAAGTACTCTTCTAAGCACCTTTCGCATATCGGATCAGTTAAGCCTTACAACTGCAGTATGAGATAGATACAGTTACCTCCATTTACAGATCAGGAAGTGGATGCAGGAGTGCTGAGTCACACACGGAAGGGGTCATGCACAGAGTGGGAACACCGGCCATGATCTGTATGAGAGGTTTGTGTTATAGTCTTCCAGGTGTACTGCTACCCAAGGCAGTGATTTCACATGTTTTTGAAATAGTAATATCCAGCTGAAATTTAGTTTTGGTACATCTCTCATGTGTACATTTATTATTAATTTTAATAAAATTTTATTTTATTAGTAAATATTTAGTAAATCCTTCATTGAAGTGTTAATGCAGAAAAATAAGCAAATCATAAGAACGGGAAAAGCACAAATCTTGAATTATCACAAAATGAATACACCCAGGGCAGGAAGCAGAACATTACCAGTGCCGCAGAGTCCTCCTCAAGGCCCCCCTTTCCCGGTTATAACTACCATTCTGGTTCCCGTTTTTGACCTTTTCATGTACATATTTTTAAAATGAATTAAACTTTGGGGAAAGTCTTGATTCCCTTAAGTCAAATAGAAACATCTTAGGGTGTTTTGAGTTGATAGAATTGATTTGTGGAGTTTACTTCCTAAATACTTAGTTTTAATAGAGATTCTGGCGTGAAGAACCCGTACCCCAAAGTAGAATGATCTTGTGGTGCCCATTACTGCCGGGAATCCTGAAGGGTCTGAGACTTTCTTATAGGTTTGAGAGTGAGCCTGCCTTAGTTTTGCAGATGTGGAGGAAGACAGGAGGCCCTTGGTCAGAGAGAAAGGGCCCGTTGTGTGTAGCATGGCAGGATTCGTGTGCACATCTGCCCCTGTGTCCCCAACTTCTAAGGCCCAAGGGGATGCTGCGCCCACCACGGATTTGTGTCATAGCTTCCGAGGGGACTGCTAGCAAACCTGTCCAGCCCTTGCCTCAAAGGGACACCAGCTTACTATCCCAGTCAGGAAACAGAGCTCTCAGCCAGGAGGAGGACACTGTCCACAGTGACAAGGAAGATATTCTTGGACAGTTTTCATGACACAAAAATTCATATCAGTTTTTGATATAATATGTGGAGAAACACCATGAAGATGTGATGTCCACACCTTGTATGGAGTATTAAGCAGTAGGGTGAGGCCACCCTGAGCACTGACCACAGCTATGCTGAGGGTCACAGCTGGACAGATACCATAAACCATGAGTATCTGTTCACTCATTCAGTCACAAAGTATTTCCTGAGTTAGGATTATGAGTGAAATATGATAATTGCCCTTTGAGAGCTTGCAGTCAAATAACAAGCGGTCATCCTACCATTTAACATGTGCAGTGAGTGTGCATGAGTTCTGTATGGCCCCACAAGGTAGAAAGCGGGGGGTGGGGGAGAGGCCGAGGGCCGGTAAGGCCGCTCTCACTCTGGAAGGAAGATTTCAGTAGCAGCAGGTGGTGTTGGAGCACCAAAGGCAGGAGACCCATTAGATGCCACTGTAGTCCAATTAAGACTTCTTTACATCTCTTTTTATGCCTATAACCTATGAGCTGTGGGTTTTTTGTTTTCTCGCATTAACTCACGTCATTGTTGATGATGCTCTTCCTAATCTCAAGTCACTTTATTTCTTTATAACTAGGACTCTCAATTCAGTGCAAGTTCTTCAGGTGCAGCTACTCCCTTTTTTGCTGTCCAGCTTTGTGTTGTTTGATGTGGCATGTAGTACAATAATTACTTTGAAGAGTCTTCAGTCTTTAGAATGTAAGTCAGTGAGGAAGTTTATAGAATTCCAATGGACTCTTAAGCTCTGTGAGCCAAGGATGTTGTTGTTTCTTTTCTGCCCAGCAGAGTATGTTGGGGGTCTTAAAACTTGTGGTTTGACCCTGTACAAAGTCTCCATCCTTTCTTGGCCTTATATTCTTTGTCTGTATGATGAGAGGGTTGGACTGAGTGTTTTACAAGGGCTGTTTCAGATCTGTCATTCATGACTTTTAAGTGCTTTGATAACGAATTCTCTGTTGGTCCAGTGGGTAGTACTCTGCGCTCTCACTGCTGAGGGCCTGAGTTCAGTCCCTGGTTGGAGAACTAAGATCCCACAAGCTGTGTGTTGTGTCCAAAAAAAGAAAAAAATGTATTGATAAGGAATTCCCTCTGCACTGTCACTGCTGAGGGCTTGGATTCAGTCCGTGGTTGGAGAACTAAGATCCCACAAGCTGTGCAGCGTGTCTAAAAAAAAAAAAAATGCCTTGGTAAATGCAAACTGTAGATATGAATAATATACCTTTGTTACATATAACTATATAAAACTATATATAAATATGCACATATAATTACATGGAACTCTATAAAATTAGTTGGGATTACACAAATGAAAAAGTTTGTAGAATTATTTTCTGTATGACACTGAGTAAACATAAAAATTTCAAAAGAAGAGTGTTAGCTTAAAAGCTTGTAGAATGTATAGTGGCAGGAGTCATCACAGCCAGAGTGGTCTTCTTGTGAAGAATCCTTGGCAGTCATTTCCAGTGATTTTCTTCCCTCGGTCACATCTGGCTATGGATGAGCAGTGGGGGTGCTGTGGTGCAGAGCTCCTGGGGACCGTGGTGCTCTGGGACAAGTACGAGTCTGGCCCCAGCCCTTGCTTGTCTCCTGAGTCGGGTGCAGTCTCCCTCCTGCCTGTCACAGGTGGTGTGAGAGTCCTTGTAGGTGCGGGCCTGGCCACGTGCTAGAGTCTCCCGTGGGCTCAGAATCCAGATCACGCCCTCCGTGTCGGTGTCCCGGTGTCTCTGGTCCAAGTGTCCAAGTCCTGGTTTAGGCTCGCCCACCCACTAATGTGTGCCCTTTCCTTCAGAGGCAGAGTGACCTTGGCTGTGGTGCACACCGACCTCGGAACCAGATGAGCAGAGACATCTGCGTCCAAACCTGGCCATGCTCCTATTATTTAGAACTTGAAAAGCGATGGGTCCCTGGAAGACTTTCATTAACTTCTCTCTCACTAAAATTTATGGCTGATAAAACTAGAGAAATTCTTGTCAGCTTTCCCCTTTCTAGTATCATTGAGATCAAGAAAGAAGCTTCTCATTTTATCTTCAGTTCCATTACCATCCTGGAGAGGGACCGCAACAAGCACTGGTTCAGTTCCTTGCAGCCTAGTCGGAATGCCGTCTTCAGCATCATCGAGCATTTCTGGAGAGAGCTGCTCTTGTCCCAGTCTGGAGCTGCTGCTGAGGCGTCCTCCTCCTCCGTGACCAAGGGGAAGGAGCTGACTTGTCTGATGACCTGTACCCAGAAGCGTCTGGAAGACACAGCCAGAGTCCTGCACCATCAGGGCGAGCAACTTGACAGTATCTCCAGAGGCCTGGACAAGATGGAATCTGACCTGGATGTGGCTGACAGGTAAGCCAACACTGTAATCCTCACCTGACCTTGGAGTGGCTGTGGTATGGTATCTTTTCCATCATCTTCTATTTATTTCACATTCAGCTTCTGAAAACACAAGCTGTACTCCTGTTCTGGACAGTTGCACTGAGCTGACTGCTACGGGCAAACAGATAAATGAGGGCCAGCATTCACGGAGTGTGCAGTATGTGCCATGGACAGTTTTAAGTGTTTATGGGGATTACCTCGTGCAGTCACCAGACAAGCCAAGAAGAGCATGTTGTTCCTCATTTTGTCCATGGGAAAACTGAGGCTGAGAGGCCAAGTAATTTGTTGAAGGTCACTTGAACACACTAAGTTTGTTGGCATAGTTTATCTTAATTTTTTTTTCATACCTGTATAGCAGCAAGGTTTGAGCTAAAGCATTTCGGCTTCAGAAACTGACATCTTAGCCACTGCACAAAACCACTCTCAAACCTTCAGTCTCGGGGACCACCTCATTCTCCTTAAAAATTGAGTACCCAAAGAGTTTTTGTTTATGTGGGTTGTAAGACTATACTTTCAGGGATCATTTCTATAGCTTGTTTATGTGGGTTGTATATACCAATATGTACCATATTTTTTAAAAAACTAAGGCATTAAATAATTATTCACTTAAAACGTACAATGATAAATCCATATTCTCAGTTCGGTTCATTCGCTCAGTCATGTCTGACTCTTTGCGGCCCCATGGACTGCAGCATGCCAGGCTTCTAGTAACATAAATAACATTTTTTTAATGAAAAAGAATGAAAAATAACTTTTATAAAGCAAATTGTGTAGTGAGAGGAGTGTCACTGTTTTAAGATTTTTTGCACCTCTCTTTAAAATGAAGCTTAGTATAAACAGCTGAATTCTCAATGCTTGCTTCTGTAGTCAGTCTGCTGTGCCATCACAAGTCACATGTGATGTCACAAGTCTCTGGAAACGCTGCTCTACACTTGTGAGAGAATGAGAGTGAAAAGCTACGTAGCACTGTGGTATTGCATGAAGTAATTTTGACCTCCCAGACTCCTTTGGAGGGCCTCAAAGGCCACACTTTGAGAAGTGCTGTGCTAACTATACCACCTGTAAAATAAGTCAGGGGCCTTTGAGTCTAGTAGGGGTGACCTCTCCCTCCCTGGTGTCTGGGATGGTTGCTTGAGAGCTCAGGATGCGGTGACAGTCTCAGGGTGGACCCTGAGTGTGGGCCCTCTGCCTCTCAGACCGGGGGTGCGTGGCTGCTGTTCGCGAGACCCTTGCTTCTGAGCGACCACACTCTGGAGTCTCCACCTGTTGCTGTTTCTAAGGACTATCTGGGAAAGGGCTTTGTGCTAGAGCTGCAAGGAACTGGGCCCTGCTTCTTATCCTTAAGAGGAGGTGCATATGGTGAATGAGACGTAACATCATCAGACCTCTGTGAGCTTTCCTCATGGGAACAAGGCTAGACATTTTCCCACTCTTCTTGCAGCTCAGGAGTCATGCAGCTGAGTTGTAACAGAAGTGATGTTGGTCACTTGCAGGCCTAGACTCTAAAAGCTCCCCTGCCCAGTCTCTGAGACTGTCTGCCCCTTTATCTGCTGGGATCCTTCAGGACTCAAGGCGCTAGGACAGAAACATTCGTTAGATAGAGTTTAGGGCCCCAAGTGGCCTCCCAGGGCAGAACCCTGATCTGGGCCCTCAGTTGGACCGCAATGTGAACAAGCGGTAGTCCTTTGCTGGGGCTGGGCCCTAAAGGTTCTGGGAGTTGTTTGTTACAGCAGGCAATGCTCGTAGACTAACACAACAGTCCGGTAGGAAATAGAGACACCTATTAAATAGCTTCAACATAGAACAGAACATTGAGATTAGAGATGCAGAAGAATGTGCATCTACACTGGAAATCAAAGAAATGTACACTAAAATAATGGAAATCTAGGTTTTAATGATCAGATTAATAACAACTAAAAGTAAGAATTCTGTCGTTGTTCTTCTGTTGCTAAGTAGTGTTTCACTCTTTGCGACCCCATGGACTGTATCAGGCCAGGCTCCTTTGTCCTCCACTATCTCCCAGAGATTGCTTAAATTCATGTCCATTGAGTTGGTGATGCTATCTATCTATCCCATCCTCTGCTGCCCCATTCTCCTATTGCCTACAATCTTTCCCAGCATTAGGGTCTTTTCCATTGACTCGGCTCTTTGCATCAGGTGGCCAAAGTATTGGAGCTTCACCTTCAGCAGCAGTCCTTCCAATGAATATTCAGGGTTGATTTCCTTTAGGATTGACTGGTTGGATCTTCTTGCAGTCAGGGGACTCACAAGAGTCTTCTCCAGCACCACAGTTTGAATGCATCAAATCTTCAGCACTTCCCTGGTGGCTCAGGAGGTAAAGAATCTGCCTGCAATGTGGGAAACCCAGGTTTGATCCCTGGGTTGGGAAGCTCCCCTGGAGAAGGGAATGGCCACCCACTCCAGTATTCATGCCTGGAGAATTCCGTGGACAGAGGAGCCTGGCCTGGCAGGCTACAGTCCGTGGGGTTGCAGAGTCAGACACGACTGAGCGATTCCCACGTTCTCACTTCGCCTTCTTTGGGCTTCCCAGGTGGCGCTAGTGGTAAAGAACCAAGCTGCCAGTGTAGGAGACATAAGAAGCATGTGTTCGATCCCTGAGTCGGGAAGATTCACTGCAGAATGTGAGTGAACCCACTCCAGTATTCCTGCCTGGAGAAGCCCATGGACAGAGGAGCCTGGCAGGCTGTAGTCCATAGGATCGCAAACAGCTGGACACAACTGAAGCAACTTTAGTGCACACACGGGCAATCTTCTTTATGGTCCAGTTCTCACATCTGTACATAACTACTGGAAAAATCATAGCTTGACTATATGGACCTTTGTTGGCAAAGTGATGTCTCTGCTTTTTAATATGCTATTTAGGTTTGTCATAGCTTTGCTTCTAAGGGGCAAAAACCTTTTAACTTCATGGCTGCAGTCACAGTTGGCAGTGATTCTGGAGCTCAAGAAAGTAAAATCTGACACTGCTTCCACTTTTTCTTTTTCTGTTTGCCATGAAGTAATGGGACAGGATGTGATAATCTTAGTTTTTTCAATGTTGAATTTCAAGCCAGCTTTTCACTCTCCTCTTTCACCCTCATCAAGAGGCTCTTTAGATCCTCTTTGCTTTCTGTCATTAGAGTGGTATCATCTCCATATCTGAGGTTATTGGTATTTCTCCCAACAGTCGTGATTCCAGCTTGTGATTTTTCTAGCCTGGCATTTCATATGATCTGCTCTGTATATAAATTAAATAAACAGAATGACACAGTACAGCCTTGTCATACTCCTCTTCCAATTTTGAACCAGTCCATTGTCTGTGTCTGTGTTGCCTCTTGACCCGCATGCAGGTTTCTCAGGAGACTGGTAAAGTGGTCTGGTATTCCCATCTCTTTCAAAATTTTCCACAGTTTGTTGTGATCCACACAGTCAAAGGATTTAGTGTAGTCAATGAAGCAGAAGTAGATGCTGTTCTGGAACTCCTTTGCTTTCTCCATGATCCAGCAAATGTTGGCAATTTGAGCTCTGGTTCCTCTGCCTCTTCAAAACCCAGCTTGTACATCTAGAAGTTCTCAGTTCATGTACTGCTGAAGCCTGACTTGAAGGATTTTGAGTGTAACCTTGCTAGCTTGTGAAATGAGTGCAGTTGTAGAATAGTTTGAACATTCTTTGGCATTGCCCTTTCTTTGGGATTGGAAAGAAAACTGACCTTTTCCAGTCCTATGGCCACTGCTGAGTTTTCTAAATTTGTTGACATACTGAGTGCAGCACTTTAACAGCATCATCTTTTATGATTTTAAATAACTCAGCTGAAATTCCATCAGCTCTGCTAGTTTTGTTCATAGTAATGCTTCCTAAGACCCACTTGACTTCACACTGCAGGATGTCCAGCTCTAGGTGAGTGACCACACCATCGTGATTATGCGGGTCATTAAGAACTTTTTTGTGTCGTTCTTCTGTGTTGTTGCCACTTATTCTTACTCTCTTCTGTTTCTGTTAGGTCCTTACTGTTTTTGTCCTTTATCATGCCCATTCTTGCATGAAATGTTCCCTTGATATCACCCCTTTTCTTGAAGAGATCTCTAGTCTTTCCAGTTTGATTATTTTCCTCTGTTTCTTTGCGTTGCTCATTTAAGAAGGGGTTCTTCTCTCTCCTTGCTGTTTTCTGGAACTCTGTATTCTTGGGTATGTCTTTCCCTTTCTTGTTTCTCTTCTTTCCTCAGCTATTTATAAAGCCTCTTCAGATGACCACTTTGCCTTCTTATATTTGTTTTTCTTGGGGATGGTTTTGGCCACTGCCTCCTGTACAGTGTTTCAAACCACCATCCATAATTTTCAGGCACTCTTTCTACAAAACCTAATCCCTTGAATCTATTTGTCACTTCATCTGCGTAATCATAAAGGATTTGATTTAGGTCATCCTAGAATGACCTAGTTGTATCCCCTACTTTGTTCCATTTAAGCCTGAATTTTGCTATAAGGAGCTCATGATCTGAGCCACAGTCAGCTCCAGGTCTTGTTTTTATTGATTGTATGGAGCTTCATGATCTTTGTCTGCAAAGAATAGAATCAGAATAACAATTGGTATAATCCTTTTGGAGAACAACTGGGTGGTTTGTAAATCTTCTTTCGACAAAAGACAAAGTGAAAGGATGACCCTGAGTTGGGAAGAAAGTACTTGCGATACCTACCCATATCCCAACAAAAGATTAATATCTAATTAGTTAAAGGCCAAATGAGAAAAAGACAATTCAACAGAAAAGTTAGCAAAGGTCGTTGATTGGATTTTAGACTAACAAGCCACTATAACAGAGATCCAAAAATATTGTGGTTGATAAAAGCTAGAAGTTTAATATGATGGTCCAAAGGAAGGTAGGTATCCCAGGCAGATATAAAGCTCTGCTTTACACCATCACTTGGGGCTGCGTGTTGGCTAGAACGTCCTCCTATTTTATCACGTGGCGCCATTA